TTAGTCTCGTTGGATCGCCGCCGTGATGATCCATTGAATGAACAATTGGTTTTTACCGTATGGTTACAAATCAGGGACCAGTCCAGCCTGAGTCAGCCACAGCTGGAATAAAATTACAGTACTGCACCGCCACAAGCCTATCCCGTGTGGCTCCACTTGCAGAAGAGCTTAAACAAAGCCCCTGAAATTTGAGACAACCAGTCGGCAGTTAAGCTAGGATAACAAAAGTAACTAGATAGTCACCTCGATTGCTACCGCAGATAGGTAGTAACGGTGATGAGAAGTATTGGATTGAAATCTGGAAACTGAGGGGATATCGCACTGAGTATCGCTTTGTACAACCTACACTACGTTTCCAGCCAGCGTTTCAGTTTCCTGCACGCTGAAGGAGCAGAGACAAGGGGGCCGAATGCTATCTACTCATGACCTCGACAAGAACCCTGGGTCAATCTCAAGTTTGTTGACTTCTGAGGCGAAAGGATGTGTCATGAAGCCGAAGCCACTCGAACTGGGGAAAGGATCGTATGTGCGCTTGAAGCATGCCGTAAGCCCGTGACACAGAGGATGGAGTATGCTGCCTCGATACCTCGATACCTTGACGCTTTAAGCTCGAGGCACCTTCTATGAACCGGACAGATCTGGAATATCAATCCATTCTTACATTTCGCGACCATGTCAGGGTCAAAGCCGAAGCCATTCATTCTGGATCTCCAGGAATGATCAAGGGATTTCAATGTAGCTCATTGCTCGCGCGTACGCATAGTTTCGAAGTGAGGTTTTGCGCTCCTGCAAACATGTGGGAGAAAGGGGGACGCAGGGGCATGAATAATAACATCGCTACTATCTGGGTCCTCGCTTCTTATCCTACGTTGGCATGCCCTGCATGCTGCGTCGATGAGCAATAGCTCTAATGTGTTTCGGTGTAAGAAGTGCCTTTCCAAGCCATCCATCGCACATTCATGATCCGACGCAAAGACTGAAGTATACTAAACCTAGGCTTGGATATACCGAATACACTAAACAGTATATCGGTCTGGAAGAAAAGCCCAGAAGGCGCAGACGAGTATCAGTAATGATAGCTTTACACTCGAGCTCTATTCTGCCAAGCAACCGTCCCGAAAAGCGATTGCGATAAATAATCGATAACTAGTCTCCGAGGCGCGCGATAGGCTAGATAGCAGTTCCGATAATACTACGAACTTCCTCTCAGGATTTCCTCCGTCTCGTGTAACTCTTCCCTGTAAAAGGTCCTCTTATTCTTGTCCTCATACCATCTTCCTTCCAATTCCAATCTGATTTCACGGGCCCTTTTATGGTAATTGTCGTCGCTCTTTTGCCTGTCTCTCCTTCATCGTCCTCCTCGTTGGGTGTATCTTGGGACACACTCGTCTGAGATCTTTCACTCCCTGATCATTTCCTGTTTACAAAATCAGGAAAAGCTACGAGCTCATCTGATAGTTCTTTTTTGTATAATCTTTGCTTCTCCGAGGAACTGAAAGACATTCCACCTCATCCATTCCCCTTTCTCGACGAGGCTGGACTCCCTGCGTTACTGGCACGAGAACTCTCCGATACGACGCATACAACCCATCAGCACACCCGATCTCCTCTTCCCTGCCTCCGTCGTCTGCAATTCGGTTGACAGAGACCGAATTTATAGCAAATCTTCACTACTCCCTACACGGTGGCTTCAATTCTTTTCCGGGCGTCGCCCATCGACCCAGCCCTCCATCCTTCGTCTCCGCCTGCTCCCCAGACCCACGATCTTGCCAGCTACAACCGTACCACTTCCATTGACGATCAATCTACGTCTCAGCAGCAGGGAGCGGATGCTATAGCGGGTGCGTCGTCGAAAATTTCACAATTGGTCGATATCGGGACTGATCTGTGCTGCTTAGAGCAATCAAACTATAGCCTCGACACCTGCAACGGGATTGGGAGCGGTTTCCCAGGTCCCAACTCTCTTGGTCCTTCTCTTCCGGGTCTCTCTGCGCTGGCATCAGTCGCGTCTGCTCCAACATCCAATCTGCGGTATGTATACCTTTCCCGGTATCCTGCGATAAAGTCGCCTTCCGGGCCCTCTCTTGGGCAAAACAAGGATATTGTAGATACTGGAAGTTGGATCTCTCATTAATTCCCCCTTCCTCTACGGTTCCCTTCGTAATTTTTCTTCTCTTGCAAATCATTCCTGCGTCTATTCCCGGTTGAAAAGGGAAGGCCGCAGGTACAATATCACAGGCAGTTGGGTTATCTTTGCTGACAAGCTCTTACATGCTTAGTGCCTCCAACAGCGATGCAAATTTAGCCATGGCCAATATGACTTACGCAACTTCATCCCCCGCAGCCATGACTGGTGGACAAGGCAATAATCCAGTAAGTGAATTGGCAGTCAGTTCAATTATAATGATTACTATCGACTGAGTGTTTTGTTCTTATCGCATGTGTGGATTCCACCTTATCTGCGTGTCATTATTGCTTCTCCCAGCCCTTTTTTTTCCCTGCTGATTTTGTCACTCTCTGTTATCTGCGGTCTTGGCATTGCAGCACCCGCACACCACCCGCTTTTGCCAGTTTCTTATCATCAAATCTCTCCCGATCTTATCAACCCATCATCGCACATCTTCCCTCCCAATCCATCCACTATCAGGCGCTTCATTCCCACCAATTTTCCTCTTCCTCAGCCACTTTTTCTCACTTTTCGCGATCTCGCAAAATTATGGCGACAACCTTGACTGACCAGAAGCGCCCTCAATTACAGCCTGTCTGCCAGAATTGTGGTACCTCGACCACGCCGCTCTGGCGAAGAGACGAACTCGGCTCGGTCCTTTGCAACGCTTGTGGCTTGTTCCTCAAGTTGCATGGCCGACCTCGTCCGATAAGCCTCAAGACAGATGTGATCAAGAGTCGCAATAGAGTCAAGACCGCCGGTCAAGGCCCTAAGCGTAAGGTGAGTCTTGATGACTAAAAAATTTTCTTATCTCGTCATCGTACCCCGGCCTTGGGCAGATAAGGGTCGCTGGATTCTAACATCGCGTCATTTCAGTCAAGCAGTGCCGTAGATGCGAATGGTCTTCCGACCTCGAGGTCCGAAGATGGCACACCACCTCTGGGATCGCAGGGTTATCGTCGCGCATCGCGAAAGACGTCGCCGGGCCATTCGGATCGGTCCAATTCACCAGTGTCCCGGACTGACACTCCCGGAGTTTCTGCCTTGCAACAACAGCAACATCAACACACCTCGAACATTGCGCCCCAGCACATGTTCGACAGCGTCACCCTCGCCGACCATACTTTGAATCCGCCCAATGGCATCCCCTCCCTTCAGCTGCATCAACCGTCTCCGACATCGACCTCTTCGGCAGCAGTAGACCGTCATGCCGATGCACCGCAGACATACGAGGGACTTCTTGCAGCAAATGCATCATTGAAAACGCGTGTGAGCGAACTGGAACTCATCAATGGGCTTTTTCGGGGCCGCGTTGCGGAGCTCGAACAGAGCGACGCGACCGCGCGCCGGTCCGAGATGATCGTCCGAGATTCGGAAGCACGTCTTCGTCGGTCTCTCGAAGAAGCCCAGCGCCGAGAAGAAGAGCTCAAACGGCGCGTGAGTGACCTTGAGCGGCAGTTAGCCGACCAGGCCAACTTGAACAGTTCGGCGAACAACGACAGCCCCGGCGAACCCCTGTCCAAAAAGATCAGGTTGTCCGACATGGTAGAACAGTCCTCCGCCTCGCCAACGAAGTCGCCAAAGAGCATATAATCCAGGGACTGGTCAAACCATTCGTGGAAAACGTGGCACCGACCTTTGCAACGCCTCAAACTATAAAAAGTACACCCGTCTTGCTACATCTCAGACTTCCCTGAACTTTCTTGATACCCTTTACGAGTATTTCATTGGCTGGATATAAGTCGGATTAACCTAATATCTGTGTTATCCATCCCCATCCTCGTTGTCTGCTTCTCGGCTCGTTCTTCGGGAGGTCTATCTGAAGTTCTTTGTCGAGGACGACTTCCACCCAAATCTTAAAAGTAAAACAAGCACTTCGCGGAGCGAACGATGCTTGGAAAATTTAAAGTTTCCTATTTTTGGAAAGGGAAAAAGGAGCGAATCGCGAACACTACTCTGTCTGCTAATTATTCCCACCGCAATCAATTTGTTGATTTATATTCCCAGAGCCTTGTCTCTTCGTCGTCTGAGGAGCCTTGTCTCTTCGTCGTCTGAGGGAGGATCAGGCATAAGTCGAAAAGAGTGACGGTCGGGGCAGGAGTGCAGGACACGCTATTCAATTCCCTCGGTGCCTCTATCGCACATCGTTTCGCTTTCATCATCCTCAGAGCGAAAGCAGGGATGATACAGTCCGTGGCCTGCGTTCATCGCCTTTCCCCTCCATGTTACCATGTCTTTTCGCTCTCGTCTTTCCCTGTTCAAGGGATCTGACTGTCTCTTTGGGTAGCCGAAATGCCGAAGACCGCCAGCGTTGGCGATTGATGACTACTTCCATTTTTGCTATTTTTCTTCTTCTAGTGTACTATTAGTTCTTCGATATCTTTTTCTAATCAGTTGACGAAAACGGTCTCCTTGGTCAGTTAGGATGTGGGCGTTCCCGATAAATATACGATCTACCCACAGTTCTTACAGCTTTTGACTAGATTTCGATATCCATGGGAAATTGGTAGTTAAGGAACGATCCGAGGCGTATGTACATTGATTCGCGACGGGTATCTGAACCAGTTCAGAAAGGGGGGAAATAGCATGAAGCGAGTAATGGTGTCAGAAATCGGGCTGAGATGAAGCAGAGAAATGAAGGGAAGGGTGTAAAAAGACGCCCTCTAAGCGTCACCGTCTAGCCTAACCGTCTATATAACCGCCCAGAAACTCACAGAATTATAAAGAAAAAAAAAAGATTAGAGAATGTCAGGAAGGGTAATAGGAGCGAAGTCACACGAGGCTTGGACGTCGCTCAAGAGAAATGTTGGCCTGCTTCAATTTTTGCAGGCTATCAAGCGAGACGGTCATGTTCGACTTTTCTGTGAAAAGCTTGGTGAATCTGGTGCTCGCGCCAGATACTCCACAGGCACACGACGATTCCGGCAACGCCAGAGAAGAAAGTCGTGTAGTAGGCCCCTTGATAACAGGCCAAGCCGTCTGGGCAGTCGCGCTCGCCGTCGGGGGCAACGATCGAGTGCTTATCATAAATGGTGCCGTAGATTAGGTTGAAAAGGTTACCACTCAGAACTGGTGCAAGGGTCATCACACCCCAGTTCTGAGAGAGACCTCCGATACCGAATGTATGAGCTACCAGCGATGGGAAGACACCGAAAAGGAATCCGTATGCAACGCCAGTGCACCCCGAAACTACAACCAACTGATTAGGGTTCGAGATCGCAGCTCCCGCAAGTTGTGTTCCCGTAAAGACCGTTGCAGAAATGAACAAGCACCAAAATCGGGACATGTTCAACTTCTTGACTAGCATGTCGGACCCAATGCCTGCAGATAACGTTAAATATAGTCTCGAACTAATTCTATGGATAGATGAGCGGGGACATACCACTCAAGAGGCGGCCAATGAAGTTGCCAAAGGACAAGATGGAAACATGCATGACCTGTCGCTGATGAATGAACTGGGAGCTCGCACTGTCATCGTAATGTTGCCAGAGAGCTTTGGCCTACAAGACATTAGAGAAAAACGTGTGGGTAGTAGCACGAGGTACCTTACACTGTTGCCAATATTACTAATAAAAATGTAGGATTAGTATCCCGCTTAAGAAGGTCGGAAGAATGAGGCTAGGGAAGGGAACCAACTTGATAGTCATTAATCCAATTCCAGAAAGAAGCGCCATTGTGAGGAAGAGTTGCCAGAACTCTACTTTCGGCAGCATCGCCAAGCCTCTAACATCTGGGTGAGGTGAGTCGAGAGTCACATGGGGCAGGTCTTCATCTGCGCGAAATCCATCCAGGGCATCTCGAGACAGCCTCGAGATCGGTTTAGACACCAAGGAAGATGTCTCGTCGGAGTCGAGGCTATTGACATGATGATGGCGGGAATCCGAGGCGTGTGAGGGTGACCGAGTGTGCGCGTGGGGCTGTGATTCAAAGACACTAGAACTTTGCGTACCTGCTTCATCATACTCTTCCTGATAAGAAGATCGTAGTTCAGTGGACCTGGTAGTACGCAACGGCCGGGATTCGACGATGGTGTCCCCCAGGTGCGACAAAGGCTGGTATGGGCCACGGGGTGGCAGGATACGGAGGAATGGTATAGCGACAAGGTTTAATAAGAAGGTTCCTAGGGCCAAGAGAAGAAGGAATTTGCCCGTGTCGTCCTTGAAGATAATCGCAGACACGGTGGACCAGAAGAAGGCGCTCAGGCCAAATGCAGCCAGGGGAAACGCAGTTGCTGTGCCTCGATGATCAGGGAAGTTGGAAGCCGCTGTTTCCCGTGATTTTCAGCATCAGTACCACAATTGACCATGCTTGTTCTTTATACATACCTGTCTTAATAGATGCAGAAAAGGACGAACAGCTTCCAAAGCCAGTGAGAAAAGAGAAAAACGACAGCATTGCCACACCCAGCGATCCTTCCCCATGCACATATGCTGTTTTCAACCAATGATACATCAGTCATAAGGTCACCACTGAACGAAAATCGTAATTCGTACCTTGATAGATTGGGTAATACCCAACGCCGAGTGTGATGGCTCCCAAGATTGTCGTAAGCCGTGGTCCTCGAGCGTCTGTTAATAACCCCAAGGGGATTCCTGACGCATACATGCCCAGGTTACCTGCAGCACCCTGAGAGAAGTGAGATTGGGTGTTTTATGAGTTGAGTAGTATGCAGGCGGGATTGCTTACAATGAAGTTGCTCTCCGTTGATGAGAGCTTCATCCGATCCGCGAATTGAGGTTCCCATGCGGAATATGCATACTGTTCGAGAACTCAGCAATTGGCATATAATCTACGATGATGCTTTTGACGGACAGATCATACATTAGTACCGCAGGCAAGTGCCGCGAGTGTCCCAGCGATAACGGATATTATCCGCCTTGACTGATGAATTGAGCCCGTCATAGCTATCAATCGGCGCACTGTCAGTCGAAACTCGACTTTAAAACATGAGATTTGTAAAGGAGGCCTCCAGATGATTTCCGCAGAAGTAAGGAGCAGATATCCGCCAGGTCACAGATGTCAAGGGACAGCCTGCGATATGGATAGGAGTTGGAGGGGAATCGCCAAGAAAGATCTATAGTCAACAGACAAACCAGAGCGAGTTCATACCAGTGAACTGTCTGGTAAGTGCGATTAGACAATTATGCTAGGGACAAAGGAAGTAACCAAAGGAGAGAGATGATGAAAGTGATAATAATGAGCGGAACAGTTTGAGTCTGGAGACAAGGTCGAGTGGCCTGGAGTGTGAACACTTGACTACTACCTACCAATCTAGGTATGGCTGTCGTCAGAACGTTCTAATCGTTAGTTAACTATCTCCGATAACCTGAGCTTACGTGTACTATCACATGACTCTTTTTGGCCTCAGGCATCTGGAGGGAAAGGCGGGTCACCTGATGCCGCAATATGACGATAGCGGCATCTCTCTCCAATTCCAGCCGCCTGATCGCAGCCACCTCGAGCTGTATCGCACCCCTTCATCTTATCCTTCGATTTGAAGGCCATATTCGATTTGGGACACCTAATACAGTCTCAAAGGTTACGACAACATGGGAGCTCTATTATCCTTGCCTCTGCTGGCTATCCCCAGCGCCAGTACGGTACGTTGTCACTTGTGGAGTCTTTCAGATAGGTCCACTGACACCTGGAGTAGCTCATCACTGTCGCAACTTCGTGTTGTGGAGCTGCAACATGTTCGGCGGTTTGCAGTGCGTGCGGAAAGTTTCAGAATAGGTAATATTCCTGCGTTGAATTCGGTTCAAAAGACTGCGGAGAATCAGCGGGTCGCTAACGCTTGTTCGCCGGATCAAACAGTATGATGACAAGAATCGCTTATGCGTTCATTCTCTTGATCAACTCGATCGTTTCCTGGATAATGCTCACACCATGGGCGCTGAAGAAGTTGGAGCATATGACGCTAGATTACATGGAAATACGATGCGACGGGAAAGAGTGTCATGGTTGGGTGGCGGTACATCGTATCAACTTCGGTCTCGGTCTCTTCCATCTCATTCTCGCTTTTATGTTGCTTGGCGTGAAATCGTCCAGGAATGGTCGGGCTGTTCTGCAAAATGGTTTCTGGGGCCCCAAGGTCATCTTATGGATTGCCCTCGTCGTGACGTCGTTCTTCATCCCGGAGTCGTTCTTCCTCGTATACGGTCATTACATCGCTTTCTTCTGTGCGATGCTCTTCCTCCTCCTTGGACTCATTCTTCTGGTGGATCTGGCGCATTCGTGGGCTGAACTCTGCCTACAGAAGATTGAGGACAATGATTCTCGGCTGTGGCGTGGACTGCTCATCGGCTCAACCCTCGGCATGTACATCGCATCGATTGCGATGACCGTGCTGATGTATGTGTTCTTCGCTAAGAAACACTGCTCTATGAATCAAGCAGCTATTACGGTGAGTATCCCGCCAGACAAACCAGAAGACCACCATGAACTCAGCTCATATGACTTCGCAGATCAACCTCATCGTCTTTCTCATCATCTCGGTTGTATCCGTTCAACCTGTGGTGCAGGAACACAATCCTCGGGCCGGGTTGGCGCAAGCGGCAATGGTGACGGTTTATTGCACGTACTTGACTATGTCTGCCGTTTCGATGGAGCCTGATGACCGCCAATGCAACCCTCTGATCCGCGCCCGAGGCACACGAACGGCCACCGTCGTTCTGGGTGCCATCGTCACCATGGCCACTATCGCATATACCACGACCCGTGCCGCCACCCAAAGTCTTATGTTAGGGTCTCAGGCCGCCCATGGCCAGTACGCGCAGTTGAAAACAGACGACAACGAACATGGTCTCGTCACTCAGCAGCCCAGTCGCCGTGAGATGCGTGCCGAGGCTCTTCGTGCTGCTGTGGAGAGCGGTAGTTTGCCGGCTAGCGCATTGGACGAGAGTGACGATGAGTCCGATGAGTATAATACCCAGGACGACGAGAGGGGCTCGACGCAATACAACTACTCTCTTTTCCACATTATATTTTTCCTGGCTACGACTTGGGTAGCTACCCTACTGACCCAGCGTCTGGATCCTGAGACCACAGAGGACTTTGCGCCTGTGGGCAGAACATACTGGGCTAGCTGGGTGAAGATCATCAGCGCTTGGGTGTGCTATGCGATCTACTTGTGGACATTGATTGCCCCCGTCCTTCTTCCCGATCGTTTCGATATCTATTAGGTTGAAGGGTGTTGCTTCCTCATTCATTGATTGGATGATTTCGTTTGGGAGTTTGGCGTCTGAGCAGAGGTGCACCCTCATTTCACTCGTTTTGCGTTATATGTATAGGGATTGCTCCCTTGTTGATCGTCTTCGAGGTTAAATCAGATAATCACTTTGTCAGATGAACTCTGTAGTCAAACTTGGAATTTCTGAAAGTCGCACAACTGTGAAGGGAAGCATTGATAAAGCTTATCAGCCACTGATAACGAGCTCCGCGTAAAGTTTCCGCGTAAAGTGGCCGAGGGACGCGCATAATCCCGCGTCATTCTAACTGGCACCACCATGGGATGAGTATGGCGACCATCAAGGCCATTGAGGCCCGTTCGGTATGCTTAATTTCCTTCTCTCTTAGCGAGAGCTCCAGTTAGCTAATCTCCCTATTTGGCGTTCAGGTTCACCAGATTCAATCGGGTCAGGTGATTGTCGATTTGTGCTCCGTTGTGAAGGAATTAGTGGAAAACAGTCTCGATGCCGGCGCAACATCAATCGGTAGGATCATGGAAAAATCATCAAAAATATGCCGGGCGATAGAATGTTGACACGCTCTTGTTTCCTGGACATAGAGGTCCGTTTCAAAAACAACGGGCTGGACTCGATCGAGGTACAAGACAATGGAAGCGGAATATCACCGGAGAACTACGAGAACGTCGGTAAGCTTTCCTTTGGTAGATATTCCAAATCTGGCTATGAAGTGTTGCTCACCTTTGGTAGCTCTGAAACATTACACGTCGAAACTCTCGTCCTATGAGGATCTCTCCCGCTTACACACCTTCGGCTTCCGAGGCGAAGCTCTCTCGTCCTTATGCGCTCTAGCCGATTTCCGCATCGTCACGGCTCAAGCTAATCAAGCTCCCAAGGCGACTAGGCTCGAATTCGAAACATCCGGGAAGCTGTCGAAGACCCAAATAGTCGCGGGCCAAAAGGGCACAACAGCCTCGGTGGAGGGTTTGTTCAAGAAACTCCCCGTCCGCCGCCGGGAGCTGGAAAAGAACATCAAACGAGAGTATGGGAAGGTCTTGAATCTGCTCCATGCCTATGCTTGCATAAGCACGGGGGTACGCTTCAGCGTCCGGAACACGGTGGGAAAGAATCGGAATGTGGTGGTTTTCTCGACGAATGGCAACCAGACAACAAAGGAGAATATTGCGAATGTCTACGGCGCGAAGACTCTACTGGCGCTCATCCCGCTGGACTTGGCCTTGGAATTTAAGCCATCCGCTGCAGGTAGGCGGACAGCTGAAGGTGAGCTCCATACAATCCAGGTCAAAGGGCACATCTCTCGTCCGGTATTTGGTGAAGGAAGGCAAACGCCGGATCGTCAGATGTTCTTTGTGAATTCTCGACCCTGTGGTCTGCCGCAAATTGCAAAGGCGTTCAATGAGGTCTACAAGTCTTTCAATGTGTCGCAGTCTCCCTTCGTCTTTGCGGACTTCCATATGGACACAAATGCCTATGATGTGAATGTGTCCCCTGATAAACGGACAATTCTGTTGCATGACGCAGGAGCGTTGATCGATTCCCTCAAGCAGTCTCTTACAGAGATGTTCGAAGCGACCGATCAGACTGTTCCTCAATCTCAAATACCTGGCTATAAGCAACCTGGTACTAAACAGCAGTTGGGGACACTGCAGGCAGTTACCCCTCGCAGGGTTTCAAGCGAGAAGGAGGCTATCACAGGAGAGCAAGACCATCCCGCTGATGATGATGAAGACACAGAATCGAGTCACCTGAGCTCTCAGGCGAAGCTGAAAAGCTTTCTGAGCAACCTTGGTTCACGACAGGGACGAGCGACTCAATCCTCGTCTCCTGTCCGCAGAGAGGAGTCGGAGCAACTGGTTTCGACTGCAGCGCCGGGTACCCCTGCCGGTCGGGCTGAATCCTTGACCAGGACGGTTGATAATGAACTATTCGTTTCAGAGGGTGGGACACCATCCCCTGAAACTCCCCAACTCCCTAAGGTGACGGACGAGGAACAAGAGTCACCGAGAGACGCCGTAGAGCAGTCTACGCCACGGGACGGTTCTGAGCTCTATGGACAACACACCCCTTCAACTCAACCAGATCTACTCGAGGAGACACCCAATGTCATACAGAATGCCTTCGATCGAATGCGACCCAGACGTATGCCCGCTGAAGTTGCCACCATCACCATTGGCAACAAGACAATTACGTCCATGGTAGGAAGCGGAATACCTAGGAAAAGGACCGGAGGATCGATTGATTCCGCCGGTGGAAGATCAGACCGCAAGAGGAGGATACACACTCCGTCTCGTTCTAATATATTTGGCAAACATATGAGGGCCTTTGCAGCTCCAGGATCGCAGATAGAGCAAGCTAGCAGCGTTGAGGCCGAGGAGGAGGTGGAGGAGGAGGAGGAGGAAAGAGCGGAAGATGAAGAGATCATGGACAGTGATTCCGAAGACGGCTCCCGTTCATATTGTCCGTCCGATAAGGAGGACGATCGCTCCGCAGAGGTATCGGATGATGAGGTCAACGAGTCCGAAGCTACAGCTGCGGAGATGATGAATGATGAGGAGAAGAAGAAACACGAAGAAGCCGAGGTGCAGCGGCTCATTCGACAGGCAGAGGAAAAAGCAGTGTTGCCTCAGGAGAATAGTATCCACCGTGCGAACAAGCTGAACAAAGGGGCTGGTCATCGCGACTCCACAACACATCTGATGAGCACCGTTGACGGGTCGCTTTCTAGAATTGAGGGCCAGATGAAGAAGGTTCAGCACAGCCTCCGTTCCTACAGGAGCAATGTGGACTATTCTCAGGAAGACACGGCGGCTGCCATGACAGTCACAGCAGAAGAACGGTTGTCACTGACAGTTACCAAGGATGATTTCGCCAGGATGCGCATTATTGGGCAATTCAATCTCGGGTTTATCCTAGCTACCCGGTCGTCGGAAGATGGCTCCGCTGATTCCAAGGATGAGCTTTTTATTATTGACCAGCATGCGTCGGACGAAAAGTTTAATTTTGAGCGGCTTCAAGCTGAGACAGTGGTACAGAATCAGCGCCTTGTCCAGCCCAAACGACTCGACCTCACCGCGGTCGAGGAGGAGATTGTAATCGAGAATCGAACTGCACTGGAGAAGAACGGATTTGTCGTCGAAGTCGACGACAGCGGCAACGAGCCAATCGGCCAGCGCTGCAAGCTGATCTCCTTGCCGCTGAGCAAGGAGGTTGTATTCGGTGTACGGGATCTGGAAGAGCTCATTGTTCTGCTGTCCGAGATGCCAGCAACCAGCAGCAGCGGGTCTGCCATGCAGACCCATATCCCGCGCCCGAGTAAAGTCCGCAAGATGTTTGCGATGCGAGCATGTCGATCCAGCATTATGATCGGTAAATCTTTGACCCAGACACAGATGGTCCGGGTTGTGAGAAACATGGGGACAATCGACAAGCCATGGAATTGTCCCCATGGACGACCCACCATGAGGCATTTGATGACTCTGGGTCAATGGGACGAATGGGATGAATATGGTTATGACAATGAAGAGGAAGACGAAGAAAGCGGCCGGATCGAGGTCGACCGCTTGGATGTATGGAGGAACTACTACCAAGAGATGGGGGAAATGAGCGCGGAGGAAGAAGACGCAGCTAAGGCCGATGAAGAGGCTGGGGTATAGAATCTGTGCGTAGATTTTGGGTGGTTTTCTCTTTTTGGATAGCTCATTATGGTGAAGTATATAATACGCCATGAAAGGCCATGGGACGGAATATCGTCCTCCAAATTCGTGAAGGAAATGTCCCCTCCGCTTCAGAATAACCCACAATCTACCAGGCTGATATTCTTCTACGGAATCCATGATCCGTTTTGCCCATCAGAGGTGTCACGAGGTATCTGACATCCTAAACATCAGTTCACGTACTTAGTATTTAATCAAGAAGCAAAACTCAAGAATCACCACCACCTCAACCACCCTCCCTTCCCCTCCTCCTCTCCCTTGCCGTTCCCCTTCCCCTTACCCTTCCCGTCCATCATCATCCGCCCCTCCTCCCCCACCTCCTCCCCTACCTCTCCCACCCCTTCCTCCCTAGCCTCCACCTCCCTCAACATCTCCTCCACAACCAACAAATCCCTCTCAATCAACTCCGCCCAATTCTGCACGTCCCCAATCTCCTTGAGCCCCTCGCGCGCCGTATCCGCCACCCTCTCCCACTGCTCATTCTGCCGGCCCAGCTCGGCCGTCGTCCGCCGCAGCTCCGCCTCCTGCTTGTCTAGCGCGGCGGCGTTCTCGTGCAGCGTGCGCGCGCGGTCGCGTAGCTCGGCGTCGTAGTTTGCGCCGGCGGAGCGGAGGGAGGCGGTGAAGGCTGCTTTGGCTTCGAGGGTGCGTTGGGAGGGGGTTGGTGAGGATGTGGGTGATTGTTGTTGTTGTTGTTGTTGTTGTTGTTGAGGCGGTGGTGGTTGAGTGGACATTGTTGGTTACTGTGAGTAGGGAGATGATGATGATGATGATGATGATGATGATGATGATGATGAGGGAGACCTAGGTTTGAAGCGTTTGGGTGGATGGCGTTGGTGAATGCTATATATATAATGTGTGTACTTGATGATATGGGCAAGATAAAACAAAGTATAGACTGAATGCGTTGATTACCCCACCTCATGTGCCACACTAGGATTGACAGCAGTCGACAAGATCGAGATGATAAGATGATTGGATGCTTGTTCTCTTCAAATCCGTGTATTGACATGGCTATGTAGAAAACTCTCTATCCACAGGCACATGGAATGCCCTCTCTTCGATACATACATAAATCCACAGACATAGAATGCAAAAACTATAAGCATTGACTTGGTATTAACAGCCCATCACCAAATACGTAATGACCGCTGGCTATATGCTGCTGCTTGAAAAAAAAATTCCCCAAAACGCCATGCATGCCATACCGAAAAGTTATTTGCGACATAGCTTCACTTGCCGTGGTACAGTGCATATTAGATAGAAGAGTATTTTTGTTGAGAATGTAAGTAAGATGGAAAGGTAATGAAACGACGACCTCACATGTTCGCCAACTCCTGGTCAATCTGGCGGTCGAGGAAAGCCTTCTTGTCGCCAGTCAACGTCGTCTGGAGCCGTTGTTCCACCAAAGCACGAACTAAAAAGCTATTAGGGAAGAATACCAATTAATTTATGGGGAAAGGAACTGACCTTGTTTCTTAGTCACCGTGTCTAGGTCCACCTCTGCCAGACAGCTGCGGATCGCTTCTGTAATGGCGCCCTCATCCGGTCCGGTACCACCGGTCCGGAAGTCGAACGCACTAACGGGTCTCGAGTTCAGGCCACCGCCGAGGGGACTGCGTGAATTCTGGCGCGCTACCCCCAGCAGGTTGTCCGTACTCTGCATAAGTCCCACGCTGTGCCGACTCATGCCCATAGGGCTATCCTGGTAGTGGCTGAGGTTGCCCACGGATATATTCCGCTGGTGTGGGTTGTCGGTATATCTGGTAAAGCTAGAGAGATGCGAGTTGCGGTTGCCCGGAATGTTTCCGCCAAATGGAGCTGGCGATTGCGGTGTTATGTACGGACTCGAGTGCCGGCCTTGGGGAAATCCGGTAAGGATGGTAGATGCCGGCTTCACAGAGGAATAGGTGGAATGAAGATCATCCATCTCCATGACCGCCTCGTCTCCGTAGCGGCTGTACATCTTCTCCTGGCTGACGCCATAGTCGCCACGACGGCCTGGAAGGTTGTTCGCCAGGGCGTAGTCATCCCAGCGTTGGAGAGGAATACTCCGAGGATCGAATGCTTCATCCTCCACAGCTACAACTCGCTTCGTGCCCTTCTCTCCAAGGACAATACGGGTACTGCCCCAGCTGAAGTCGTCCTGTTTCCAGAATGCATACAATGGCAGGATAAAGTTGTAGATTGGGAAGGCCAGGATGTAGATAATCATCCACCCAATATGCTGCCACTGCCGTTTGACGATGAAAATGATGGCCTGGAGACCGTACACACCTGCCAGGATAGCGAGGGAGATATATGGAAACGGGCCGGTGTGACTGGCGACACGGTAGATCAGGTACCCTATGTAGACGCAGGTCGCGGGAAGGATGAGGGTTCCAATCAGGTCGACCAGTACCACAAATCGCATGCTGAAACAGCAGAAGCCACACAGGTCCTCCAGAGCCGCAAGCTCAACCAAATTGTGAATCGTCGAGTTGATCCACCGACGTCGCTGAGAGAGAAGGACAGACCAAGTCTCCGGGGCGGCGGTACTGGCATAGGCATCCGGAATGAACTTGTAGGACATAGTCGGGAAGTGCTTCGTCATTAGAGTGGTGAGGAAACGATCTTCACCCAGAGACAATAGATTCTTTTTGTGCAGGGTGTCTACATCGTTGTCCGCATATTCTTCAATGACTTTGTCTGAAATAATCAGAGGTCGACCTTTGTCTGCCGTTCGTAGACGATACATGCAGAAACTAACCAGCGCGTCAGTAAATTGAGATGAGACCAAAGTCACGGATCGGGCACACTTACCACCCCGGAAGACATGTCACACTTCCAAACAAAGACTCGAAAGCCTTGGCCAGGTGATGCGAAATGTAGTACTCGTAGACTTGAATCATTGTCCACCAGCTTCGTTCCTCATTCTGAAGACTCGTCTCGCCGCAGATACCGGCAATCCGTGCATCATTCGCGCAAGCAGCAACCAGTCGGTTTAGTGAGTCTTCTCGAACACTTGTATCCGCGTCCACCATCAGACAGTACTCATAGAGTTCAGGGTCGACTCCAATGATATTGTTGATCTGATGGAACATCTCGAGCTCCAGCGGTGACATCGGGGAACGGTGATGTACACGGTTCAGGAAGTTGAGCAGAAGGATTTGCGAGTCACGCTTACCCCTGTTACCGGGCTTCGGCCGGTTTTGTTCAGATTCCTTACCGACTTTGACAACTACAATATATGGAACCACATTGCCCTCGTATTCGTAAAGACCAGAGTAAACCTTCCCATAATTGAGCTGATCACTTCCTTGTCCGAGAGACTTGCACGGCAACGCGGGGGGGTCAATCTTAGGATCAACGCCCAGGATGTCCAGGACGATCTTAGGAGTTGGTCGATCGTTACCGCCGCCGACAATCATGCCATCGCATATGACGAAGATGAGTTTCCTTTTGTTGTCATATTGTAGGGCTGTCAAGGAGTCGAGACCTTTGCGAAGCGCATCTTCACCTTCTGTATATGCTGGCACAAGACAAATGACAAACTTATCTTGTGGGGCTGGACGCCGTTTGGACCCAAGCTGTAGAGCCGCAAGGAATTTAACGAGGATAACAGAGCATATGAGAACTGTGAAGGCAAGCAGAATCCAGTTATTGACGGTACACCGGGGGGTATCGCGGAAATCCACTTTCCCTTTGTAGAACACATAGTCGAGACATATCTGAGACTTCTTGAAGTCCTCAGAATCTCCCCATTTGTCGGTCACGTCAGTGCCCGGATAATTCTTGAAAAGATCCGTGACACTTGTTGGTAGGAAGTTGTAGGTGTCTTGGTTATTCATCCTATCCAATGTGTAAAAGTAATCCGTCAAGTCATAGATGTTTTTGTTCACAATGACCCAGTATCGCTGGCTATCCTCGGCCTGTTTCGCAACGGTTCCTCTTGTCCAGACAAGATCTCCCTTGAAGTATTCACGGATCTTTGGGAGGAAGGTATCCTCATACCAGGTGATCTCGTGGAGCTTGGTGGTTGAGGGCCAATTCAGGGGACCACAATTGTGATTTGCATAGGAATACATGTCAGCAGTCGTGTCGTTATAGGCGATCTTGATTGACTGATCCGTCACCATTGGCGAACAGAATCGAGTCAAGGGGGGAGGAAAGTAGGCATCCAGGTTCTGGCCTCGAAAGGGCTCCATGGTCGACGCAGTCACGTCGATATTGTTGTCACTGTGCTGAAGCCTCCAGAATTTGCTGATATCGTACACTTTACCGTGGACGCTGACAAAGAAATCGTTGTCACCCTGGTGATATCCAACTTCCTTGGAGTTCCAGACTTTATCCTTGTTCGGGCAGAGCAGGTCACCAAACGCCATGATATAGAAACAGACAACGGCATTGAAGAAAAGGATGAGGAGGACGAGGACCAGTTTCTCCCTCCAGGCCATCCGCACATCGGGACGTTTCATGCGGCCAATGTAGCGAAGGACAAAGGATGGGATCCAGAAGGTCAGGGCCCAGACAAACCCTGACCAGACGCGCCGACCGAAAGTGATTTCCTTTTTCTCGATATGCTTGGGACTACCAAACTCGGGATCAAGTTCGCCAGTGTAGTCGCCGTCGTAAAGATGGTTCTCCCACTTTTTGGTGTCACCCTTGGTTCCGAGACCATAGTCACCAGCCATGTTCAACGTGTTCGGCATACTAGGAGCGATGGATTTCGCTACCCCTGCGACACTGGGTGCTAGCATGCTTTGTCTTTGTAGGAGGTTATCCCGACTGCCCAAGAGGCTGGCGGACTCCGCCATGGGATTCGCCGCGTATTGTGCCACGCCAGTGTCAAGCATGCCACTGCCGTACATGTACGAGTTTGCTCCGGGTGTTTCATCCGGCTTGAGATCGAGCATCGTTTCCGCTTCCCACCATGCGTTCTCACGCATCCAGATTCGTTGATG